GCACTTTGGGAAGCCAAGACGGGCAGATCACGAGGTCAGGAGATCGAGACCATCCTGGCTAACACGGTGAAACCCTGTCTCTACTAAAAAATACAAAAAACTAGCCGGGCGAGGTGGTGGGCGCCTGTAGTCCCAGCCACTCGGGAGGTTGAGGCAGGAGAATGGCGTAAACCCGGGAGGCGGAGCTTGGAGTGAGCTGAGATCCGGCCACTGCACTCCAGCCTGGGTGACAGAGCGAGACTCCGTCTCAAAAAAAAAAAAAAAAACAAAACAAAACAAAAAAAGAATGTATTGAATGAATAAATGTATCCACAATACCACCAAGCTCTACGGAACTGCTTCTGTCAGAACTTATAAGAGGATTGCACAAAAACTGACACCTGAAGTAGGCTGCTGTAGAAAGCTGTTAAAATATATACATAACATGCTCCCCTTAGCCCAGTTCCTCATTTTGGCCTAATGGAGGCAGCTACACTATCATCTAGAAGTCTTCCATTACTTGAAGCTCCTTGTATTACCCAAAAAGAGCTATCGGTTTTCTTGCAAACTCTGAGCCATGAGTATTTAGGTATCTCTACTAAACTACTATTTAAGCGTCCTCAAAACATGATCGTCCTGAGTCTTAGGATCAAAAGTGTCAAAGGTGTTCAAAGCAAATCTGACATTAATGTATTTACTCCTTTATCTACGGACTGAGAAGCACTCATTTGGCATGAATTTTGGCTGCTTCTAGGAATCAGGTTCCTGTTGATTACTGCATGCAAATATGCCCATATTTCACACAGACATAAGCCTAACTGATTCCATCAAGGCAGTGGTTTTCAAATCTCATTTTGCCCTCCCTCCCCTACCCCACCTCCACCTCTCACCCTGGGAGTAATGTCTGGAGTTATTTTTGATTGTCACAATTTAGGAGGAGGCTCTACTGGCATCTAGTGAGTAGAGGCCATGGATGCTGACAAATATCCAATAATGCATGGGCCAGCCTTCAGAACAAAAAATGACCTGGCCCAAAACATCAACAGTACCTAAGCTGGGAAGCCTAGGTTGCCCAAGTCAATAGCCCAAAGTTGAGGCGACATTCTGTAGCCATCTTTGCTCACAAAAGCTAGACCCCATTCATCTGTGTGGTGCTTTCTAAGACATATGGAAACAAAGACAAGAATAAGTTAAAAAGCAATAAGAGGCTGGGCTCTTCCCCTGCCTACTGTTAGAATGAAAGATGTGTAGCTTGTCTCTCAAAAAGAATAATTCAGCTGGAGAGTTTTCCTAGGTAGATCCCTGTCATGGATCAATTAATCTCCTGTGGAAATCTCATAATGCAAAACATTTGGCATGGAACTTAACAGATTCTTGGGTGTGGAAAGGAATTTTGGTAAAATCAAAACCATATTTGTTTTTCATATTGAAAATGTTCAAGTCATTTTCTTTTCCTATTAGTATAACCATTTGGACAAAAATATCCATGTGAAATGCAGGTGAAATGTAAACTGCTACACTTCTACATAGACAATCCAGTGTATTTATACTTAATCCATAAAGGCATGATGTTACAAAACACATTTGTATATTATGAAGCCATCTGGCATCAAATTTTCCAATTTATAGACAACTTTGTATTTACATAACAAATTATTAAATCAACCATTTTTCCGGTTTATAAAAGGTCACTGAGGTACACACACAGTGTGTATAAATGCAGATAAGGCTGGTAATACATATTTACAGTAGATACAAATTAATCTTTCATATTTGAAGATAATGCTTTTTATATATTTTTTTATATCAGACTCCCCACTGTTAGCAGGATTTCCCATGCTTGAGTTGTTTATTGCTTTTTGGCTCACTGATTTAATATTCACTTCTGGGTTGTTTACACATATGAATTACTAATGTTCTTATCTCTTTGGCTAATGCAAATGTGATAGAATGAATGAAAGAAAAAGATAAACTAATTCAATATTACACTTCTGGCTGGTTGATAATTTTTGTTCATGTCTCCCAAATGAATCAATGCACAACTCATTTGATATACTACATTGAAAAGTCTTGAGTCTTGCATTACACCATTTGGGCATAAATGGGCAAAGTAAACAAGATATCCAATTTTGAGCAAGGCCTAGTCTTTTGGCTTTCTTTTCAGAAAGAGCAATGCCACCAACATCTTAAGCATCTTAGATTTTAAAATCTTAATGCATATATGCTTGTGACTTGCAAGGGAACACTGCAAACTGCATGGAAGATTACCAAAGTTAACAACAATGTGCTATCATGGTCTAAAATGAAAAATGAGTCACCTCGTAGGATATAAGAATCTTCCTAAAACTTACAGAAAGTGAAATAACTGCCCTCTTCTCCTCCTGCAATTCTGCAGTGTTACGTTCCAATAAGAAGGCTGTGTTTACTTAAAAAACAGACATAGCAAAAACTCAAAGTCAGGGTCCAAATAAAAGACTAAAAGTGGCCCATGATATCACAAGGGATGAATGTTCTTAAAGCGTTTTCATTCATAATGGTACTAAAAAGTACAAGCCAAAAATGTTCCTTTAAATAAATAAAAACCCTGGTTTGCATTTAATGCTACAAACAAGACAAATCACACAAAATCTGCTCAGTTAATTTTCTACTCATTTGAAATAATTTTTAAAACCTTCTCAGAGGTTTAGTTTATTCTCCTTGTGCTTCCTAAGACTGTTAAGGGACACAAAATAAAATTAGATTTCCTTTTCCAGCAGGAACTATTATGTTCTTTAAAGAAGAAAAATTTTTTCATCTGTTTCCATTCTTGGATTTGTTTCTTAAAAAAAGTTTATTTTAGGGAATAAAAATTTTGGTAACATAGAAGGCCTAGCCTTCATTTAAAAAATGAATTGGCTTCAATACAAAGAGAAAGAAATGGCTCTATGGGCAAAATTGAAGTGTGAGTGACCAATTTTTTAATTGTAAAGTAGGTGCAACATTTTAAAAAATGTTACAGCACTGTATGACCTGTAATGCTAACAATATTTACATTAACTGCTTACACAAAACCATATAATTGTAAGAGAGAGGAAAAAAACCCACGTGGACTGAAACTACTACACCTAGCACCCATATCAAAGCCAGAGCAACCAGTGAAATCATGGGCACAAACATACTTTACATTGTCTACTGATGTAAAGTATACAATGGGAGGGAAGCACAAACTGAATTAGCTCAAAATACCAAAAAGAAGGCTTGGTCAACACAAACTCAGCCTGAAGACAGAAAAGCAAAGGCTAAAAAATCTACATGTCAACACAGACACACATACAGACACACCCAGCCTACAAACACACATGTATGTCTGTCTGTGAACAAACAAAAATGTGTAGGAAAAAACAGTAGAAAAACAGGTTGGCGCAAAAAAAAAAAAAAAAAGACATTAATGGTTTAAACATATTAGCCACATCAACTTTTAACTTATAAACGTGTCAACTAAACTACACAAAAGATTACTTCCTGTGACTGCATGAAGGAACTGGGCAGGCAATCCCACCATTACAAGAGAGACAAAATGAACCTACCCCCTGAAGGAAGGGTTCCTACTTTGAGGTCATGAAGCCCAGGGTAGCCAGTTGCATTCCGTCGGGCTTGGGGGTAGGTTGAAAGTGGAACAGAGGGACAGAGAGACAAAGGAGACCTAGGGGAATAACTAAGAGCTGTTGCTATCAAAAGCGAGCCCAGGTGGCATGCTCTGTGCTGTGGCCCTAAGAAACCAACTCAAGGAATGACCTTGGTCTCCATTTTCCTGAGTTACTGGAACTCTGCTACATGACAGGACTGAGGAGTTTGGGCGGTGGGTGGGAGAGGAGCAGTAGGTGAGGTGGTGGGCAGGTTGAGCTGCTGAGCCTGCTGTTGGAGAACCTCCTAGCAGCCTGAGTGGCAGACTGTTGCCTGAGCCCCAGGCTAGAGGACAAGACAGTGCTCTCTAGGGGTTTAAGGGTTTGGGGCAGGGACTGGTGGTTCCAAGAATAAAGGGATAATAGATCCCTTCTTTTCACAATCCATCAACTGAAGTCAGGCTGGAAGCCTAAACTTTGCTTAACTGCCTAGAAGATAGGGTAATACCACCACCACAAAAATTGTGAGAAGAAGACGGAAAATTATGTTGTGCTACATTTCTTATTAATTACCTTGTACTTTACAATGGCTCACAGTTTTAGGTTTGTATACTTGTAATGTAGTATTTTCTCTCTACATTTGTTTCACATTTTTTCTTACTTAATATAATATAAATAATTTGGTTAATAGATTTAACCTGCACATTTTAGCCACATTAATATATATAAGAATCTGTTAATGGTATAAATAATTCTTTAAATAAAATAAATCTGATATGTTACACAATACTGATAAAAAATTACCATTGCTAATAATTTTGTAAGCCACCTTAACTTCTGGGTTAAGTAATACTGATGAATGGATATGAAACTTGCTTTGATGATTCATATTTATTTTTGCCACTACAAAAAAAAAAAAGAATTATAATCAACCTTACCTCTGATAATGGTTGCAAAGTGGGGCTTTTGCCTCCATGTATGGAAATAGAAAGTTTTACCTTGTCAGATATCATTTGCAAAAAACCCCTCAATTCTGAGCACCAGCGATGGTGCAGTCAGTATAAGCTATCTGCTTCAACAGGTGGCTATCAAACGTTAACTACAGAAATGGCTGAGTAAAATATTCCATCTAAGATTTTTTTTTATAAAACCTATTCTATTTTAAAACTTAGGTAAAAAAAATATGCAACAAATGGTTGCAGTTTCTGAATTCTTAATTTAGACCTGTGAGCCCTCTTCCCTTTAGAAATCTGCAAGGTTGCAATTTCCTAGACACCCGAAATTGAGTCCAGTGCTTCCAGGCAAGGTTCATTCCAAACACACAATATAAATGGACACTCAGTGGTGTGCAGTGTATGTCATAATTCAGATATTACATCATCATGCCTTTTCTCTGCTGTTAAATACAAAAACAGCATCTTTTACATTATCATAGAAAAGCATTTAGGTTGTATTTTTATTTATCACTTTACACTGGTAGTCTCTGGTAGGTGTACTCCATAGAAACCAAAGAATTTTGTACACTATTTCTTTGTACAATAAAAGATAAAGTGTGCATTAGGTACGCTTGTACATGACAATATTGTACAATATTTACATTTCTGATATCACCATGAAATTCTGTATTTTCTATATACAACATTGAAAATTCTTCAGAAACATTTGGACTATTTCTTATAATCACAATTTAGTATTATAGAAAAAGAGTTTCTCAGTAATCTCTTGACCATTTATCACTCTCATCACACAGATATTTTGATTGGTTTTTCCAGCATTCATTATCCTTCCTGATCAAAAAACTTTTGTATCACTGTTTCTTTTAGCACCCTGTGGTGGTGGTAGCTATCTGCCATAGTCTAAATATTGATATAACAGTGGCTATATCAATACCTATATACAGATACATCTGTGCATGTTCCTTTATTAAACACTGCGCATTAGTGGAGTAGTCTCTGTTATCTGGAGATCTTCCTCCTCTTGGGTTTGGGGGGTCTCATTTGTCTGTCACCCTGTGGGATTTGGTGTACCTGGAAATAAAAAGGTAGGAAAAAAACAACAACAACAGAGGATGAAATCACAAACACCATACAATTTCTGACAAAGAAACAGGGTAGGGAGTAGACTCTGGCTTTCACTTTCAATTACTGATATCCTGAGGCACTTCAAATGTTTACCAAGACCCCAGATGTCAGTGTGCCCATAGTCACTACAGAGAATGCAGAATGCTAGAAACTCATAAGCAGTGCAACACTCTGGGGGTGCCAATAGACAGTGGAAAACAAAGGATGAACTGGACAAAATCGAGTATGGGAAATGCAATGTGCAGTTGTTACCCCATTGTCCATTTAAAACAAAAATAAAGCCTTCCCTGTCAGAGACCCTAGATCACCAATTTCACTACAGCCTGGAAGAGTGAATAATTATACAACAAACATGCCCCCTTTTTTTTCCCTCACTTTGTTACCCTACTTATTTTACAATGACTAGGAAGGGTCACAAATTACAAGAACATGCACACATAGCTCAGCCTAAGGATGTTTGTTCATGAGAAGAATCAAAATGGAAAAGAGAATACCACTATCATCTGTTGGCAGATCTGAAATTGTGTAGTCTGGGAGGAGCAGTTAATACAATTCACCTTTATGTACTAATGCAGGAACTAGCAACATTTAGTGCTGTTCATCAGATTGAGCAGCGGCTGAGCAGCATTAGATAGCAGATATAATTTGGAGGAGGGAGTGATCAAATTGTCTTATAGCTATCGGTGGGAAGGAGCAAGGTCCAAGACCCAGGAGAGGAGGGATGAACCCAAGGCAGTGGTGTAGCAAATGCTTTATCAGCATTTGGACACAAGTCCATTGTAGCATTTTGCCAGTTTCTGTGGTGTAAAACTTTTGTCCTGGCCAACCTTATGTCACAGGACTTAGGGTTAGGAAGAGATGAGTACAATTGACTCTCAAGATCCACTACAAGTTGGCTCAATTACATGCTTAAAAATAATGTTTAGACAACAGCAAAGGGCAATGCTATCCAGACTCAAATGCAGAATGCTTTTAAAAAAATAATATTTTCAAATTTTAAATAATATTTATGGGTTTTTCAATCTGCCTATTCCTCCTAATCTTTTCCATACACATTTTTAAAAGCCACTAGTCTGTAGTAAAGAGCCAAAACTTTTTACAACTGAGGAAAGAAACTTTTTATAACTGAGACTGCAAACTAGTAATCTGTGGACCAAATGTGGCCTGAAATGGTATTTTGTTTAGCCATATGGCACTTTAATATTTTTTAAAACAGTTGTCAACACATAAAAATGAGAAATTTTACCTCTAGACTTCTAGTTTTGTATGAAAAATGGAAAGATCTTGCAACATGAACACAATTTCCCAGATGTCTAAGGTCTGCTGGAGCATGGACGGAATGCCTTCTGGAGACAGCACATGCCTCCTAGGTTGCCCCGGCCCTTACTACTCTCAACTACCTGATTTCCACCAGGGCCAAATGTCCTGAGGCAGAGTCTAGAGAGACGATGGCCAAACTCATTTTCTCTTTTTCCTGGGCAGGCACATTCTATGCTCTATTTCCTATTCTACTTAAGAAGATCATGTGATTAGGTCAGGTCAGTGGAAAGTCAACAGAATGACTGGTCTGGCTCATAAACCTATGCTGGCAGTATTCTTAGCATGCTCTTTTCTTTTACCTTCAAGGCAAAATGCAAAGGATATAATGAAGCACTCTGAGGTCCTAAGAGAGGTGGTCACTAGATAAAGAAAGAATCTGTGCGCTGGTGTGGAGCAACCCCTTCCTCAACCAGCACCAGACTCAGGTGGGTAATGGCTTTTACTGTGCTGAGCCTCTAGATTGGTAGCCTACCCTAACCCATGGATCTTCACTGGCATTTCTTATCCATTCCAACTGCTGTTTTCTCATACCTGGCCCACTTTACTTACTGATACTATTTGACTGGCCCTAGAAAACATTTGAGTTTATAGTCCCCAATCTAGATCTTTCCTATAATTTTATCAGGAAATTTAATGTCTCAGGGCTTCAATTCACCCATCTGCGAAATGATGGGTTGGTTGGATTACAAAATCTCTAAAACCCATACTAATCCCTTCATTCAATTGCCATTGGATGGTTTGTTGGGATTCAGATAACCTTGTAACATAAGGTCAAATAAAATAAATTATTTTTCATGCGAAATAGCCTAGACAATTCACATTTTTAACAGATTACCAAAATTATATTTTAAGTATTTACATCAGTCAATGTGTGAACTGGAGGATAACGATTAAACTTCTCACACTCAATGCTATTACATGCACAGTTCAATAAAAATGGGATATGAGAGGTCTATATACTCTTGATCTTGACCCCCACTGTCTTTTGGTTCAAAGGACAGAACAAAATTTGCATTACTAAATATATAGGCAACAGTAATGGCCACGGCCATTCACAGAGTCCAGTGCAGAAAGCTGTGGTTTGAACATCAATATTTTGCTGCTCATATTTTAAAAGAATGTTATGTGGCAAAACAAAAGTTACTTATCTCAGGAAGAAAGACATAGTTAATACAGTAGGTTTTTTTTTTTTTCCTTAAATGACTTTGAATCTTTTCTGATATTTGTCTTCTTTTTCTAGGCTAGTAATTTAGTATTGCTACGTGAGTTGTTTGACAATATTCAAGAGACTTTACCAAAAAGTGTAACATAATTTATTTTCTAAGAAACACAGTATAATGGAAAAATAAATTAACTTACAGTCCCAGACATTTTGTCCAGTTCACTCATGGCCTCATGAATAGCAGCTTCTAAATGGTTATTTAGCTTTCCACTTCTGGAATTAATGAAAACAACACACCAGATTAAAAAATTAAAGAAACAAAACTCAATTTAATTTCCTAATCAGAAAACAAAAGTACCAATTCCACGAGAGAAAGCCAATTTATACTCGCGTTTGGAAAAATTCAGATGACAAAACATCACTCTGGGATTCTTACCACTGAATACTAATGATTAAAGTCACAGAACTACTGAAAAGAAAAGTCGAACAGATTGTCGGGCGGGGAGATGGACTTCTTCCTCTTCCACATGCTTCTTCCACAATCTGGTGATTTGGGAAGAAAGCTGGGCCACGGGGTCCCTCTCCCAGAGACACTGCTCATGCTCCCTGGCTCCGGCCGGCCCTGCATTGCTTCTCGTTTCTTTCTCAAGCAGCCTGGCTGTGTGACCAGAGGAAGGGCGGAGGGGCTGAACTGCAGGCTCTGGCCACTAGGGAGCTCCCTCTGCCCTCTCTGGAGCGTTCTGGCTCTGGAGTTGAGCTAGTGAAGGCTGAAATCCCGGGGCCCGTTCCAGGGTGGGAAACAGCTTAACTCTAACGCACCTGAGGCTCCCAGCCTACCCCCCAGCGCATTTTCCCAAAAGCCAAAATGATGTAAATATTTGAACAGATAAAGAATGACAGCCTCAGGGTGCCTATCACTTCTCTGACCTTTTTTCTCCACTTAGCATTCCATTACACATGTTTGGCCTGAATAACACACACGGTGCATCTACCATTTTTGAAGCTTACATCTATGAAGCTGTTGAACTAAAATCGGGTAAATCTATGCTACCCACCCCTGTGGTTATGTACACTTTGCCCATCCTGACTGTTAACTTGTTTTTCCTCCTTTACGCAAATAAATAATTACCTATTTTTTCCAAATACTAAGGTGATTTTTTTCATTTATCCTGTCATGACAATTACTAGAAAAGCTGCTGGAGGTAACGTTTTCGTAACAGGCGGTTAGCATGGGTTTCCATGAGTTAAGTCCTATCTCAGCATCTACCATGGAGACTGGAAATCTGCAGTCGTGGGAGAATTTGATTTACTGTCGTATTTAGTTTGGTTAGCAGAGTGTTTCGAAACATTTTTGAACTTTAGTTCAGTTTACCATAGCTTTCACTAGGTTTTATCCTCACACACCAGGACTGGACAATGTATACACTGAGTTTCTGTCTACACTTTGAGAACTCCGAGTTTTCCACCCTTGAGTACCATAGTGCTAGACATATCATAGATGCTCTATGTATTTGCTAAACAAAAATGGTTGTCAAAGGTGGCCCAGATGGTCCTATGTTTCAAAAAAAAATACATGTACTTAGGTCAGTTTAACTGAAAGGAAAAATTAGTGTATTGCTTTTAACCAAATTATAAGGGTAATACGGCATCAACCACTTCCCCTCTACCTTTCGCTGCCCTGTAAGCTAGTCTTTAGCTTTTATATTTTTGTCATTTATTTTTAGAAATTTAAAAATGCAGAGGAGTACACAGGATAAAATAAACCTAACATATTCCCCTCCCGGAACGAAATGTTAATAAATTACCTATTTCCTTTAAGTCTTTTATATTAAGAAAATAAAGCTGGAGTCCCCAGTTGTTATCCATCCTGGTCCCATTTTCCCTCACCTTCCCCCCTCAACTTTTAGTCTGCTTTTGTACTTTAGTATTGTTTTATACGTGTTTTTTAAAATATACACACACAAAAGGTGTCAGATACACATACTTGACTTTTTTTCTCCTTATAACTGTTTTACATACCATCTAGTTTGTATAATCTATTCATTCCTTCTAACTGCTATGTAAGAAGTTTTTTTATTATGCATGTACTGTCTTCCATTTACCTACCCATTCCAGTTTCAAGGGGCCCTGGTCATCTCATGGAGTCAGTCTCAGTTGTTTTCCTAATGAAGTGTCTGCCAAGCAAGCTCCTGGGAGCACTCTGTAAGGCCACCTGGGGTTTGCTGAGGCTGCTTGGCAAGGGTTCTGACAGTATTATCATTGCCATGTTGCCTGACAATATCACACTGTGTGTAATGTGTTAAATACATTTATCCTTACTATTTCTTTTGTATGAACATAAGTTTGATGTATTAACATAAGTTTTAAAAGACATTTATTTATTATAAATTTTGATTAGAATATCTTAGGAGTTTAAAATTGACTATATAAAGTTCTAAATATTTAAAATGAAGTTACAATGTTTTAACGAAAAACCTCCAGAGAACCTTGGTTCTCTCACCTTTAATCTTAGTAAAAGAAATACCTGTTATTTATTTTAAAATGTCTATATGCCAAGTATTGTATTAAAACTCTATATACATTATCTCATTTAATCCTTACAACAATTTGATGGAATAGGTATTATGACAACTGTATGTGATACTTCATGACTTTTTAAGGAGAATTGGTGAAATCAATTCTAATTTTGTAATGAAGAAAATGGATATTTGACTATAGTTTTCAAAAGTAATAGTCATAGGTAAAAAACTTTTACCTAACCATGAAAAATTGCAATAACAATTACCATTCAAACACAAAAACGATTCAACATTACTTGTTGAAAAAAAGTTTCAGGAGTTTTGTCATCTCATTCTTCAAGATATTTAAAATATTTGTAAACACTTTGCATTAATTCAAGTTAAACTAGTATAATGTTTCACCTTTAACACAACTTAGTTGTTAATAGAGGGAGAAATGACTACTTTTGGAAGAGAAAATAAATACATAGATGTGGGGCATGAAATTATTTATATACCTCATGAGATTCGAGAGATAAAGAGAGACTCTCCCAGATGTCAAATCTGCAGACCAGCTACTGGTCAGGTCAGGGAATAATGAATTTAAAAGAGGAAGAAAAAGCTCTATGAATTCAAGAAATGAACAATTAGTCAAAATTCAGTCTTTCAGTCCAGAGGGCCTCCCTGTGGAGTTTCTTCTACTATTTTCTATTCCCCGCTGACATTTAATAATAAACATTTTTACTAATGGACACTCTAAAACCTACTTGATTAAGTAACAGATGTTCATATAATCACATTTCTAATTATTAATGGAGATAATTGCCACTTCTCAACTTCATTGGCTATAGTGTCATATATTATCTTTAAATTCACTAATTTTTTAAAAAAGCCAGGTACACGTCTATGAATAGTACCAGAAATAGAAGGGAAATGAGAAATTGCAAGTTGTTCTTCACTGTCAGTTTAGAGTTTAAGTGACTCACTTCATCCAGTACGTAACAAATATGGGTGAGACATAAAAGTCAAGAACCCTGCACTCTGAAACCGAATGCCTGGGGAATGTATGAAGATCTAAGAAAATTTAACATGGTAAGTATCATTCCTTGGTTTTAAAGTGAAAGTATGATTTATTTAATCACTTTACTGTTTTCCAGATTCACAAAAAATCAGGTTTCCCAAGAAATGTATACATACCTATAGACAGAAGATTTGCTCCTTGCTTAAATGAAAACCATAACATATGTAAAAGCTGTGGAATTTTTCTTTAATAAAGCTATTTCTGCTTTTAAGTACAAAATTGCCCTAAGTAATGTGTTAAATAAATATGTTGCTATTAGGATATAATTAGAACATACATTTAAAGGTATTTATTTGTTGTATAGTTTGAGGACACTGAAGATTAAAACGACTAAACATCTAATATCATGGTAGAATGTTTCAACTGGCAAAAATAACAGATAATTTTCTTTCTTTCACCTGTATCTTCATAAGAAAAATAGCTATTTACTAAATGACATGTGCCAAGTACTGTGCTGAGGCTCTCTCTATATTATCTATGTTACAACAATTCTAAAGTAGGATTATGTCCATTTTAGAAATGAAAAATTTAGGCTCAGGGAGATTATGAACATACGGCTATGAAGTGGTAGAAACAGGACTTGAGTCCAGGTAAAAAACCAACCTCTTAATTATCTTGTTCCAAATGACACCTTCCTTTTTCAGCCTTTTCCTCTTTTCTTCTTCCCCTCAGTCTACAAAAGCAGTCAAATCTTTGTCATTTAAAAAATTCTTTCTTTGTTATTTTTCAGAAAATTTTCACATTATGGGTAGAAAGAAGAGTAAATAATCTACATCTCCTCTCCCTATTTCCTTATTCTTATTTAATCTTCAACCTATAGCCACTTTGTGTGTATACGCATCACTCTACTGGAAACTGTTCTCACTTAAGTTTACCAATGACCTTCAAATTGTCCAATCTGATGGAGATTTTTCAGTTTTTGTCTTACTGGACCTCTGTTGATCACTTTATCAGTCTTTGACTTCTGAGACTCTATCTACTTTCCCTGATTCTCCTCCTCCTCACTGACCATTCTTCCCATCTTCTTCATTCTAATGCATGTTCAATCCTTAGCCTACGATTCTTCAAATTGGTCAAAGTATCTTTGTGTGACTTCAGTCATTTGTACACTGTCAAATATCATTTCTCCCCAGTTTCAGGCATGTATGTCCAGCCTATCCTACAGGCACCCCAAACTGTACTCAACAGCTTCCCGCTGTAACCTCCACTTCAGTCAGTGTTTCTACAACCTACCAAGTCACCCAAGCTGAAAACCTGAGAGCTGTCCTTGATTTTGTTCCCTTTCCTTTACATTCTGATCAATCACCCCATGTTCTTTCTATTTTGCCTCCTAAGTATTTCTTGACCACATTCCTTCTCTTCCATCCTCATCCCCAACTCCGCCAGCTCCTGGTTTGGGTCCTCGTTCTCCCTTGTATTCTGCCATGGCTCCTGAACAATCTCTTCATCTTCAATATTGTTGCCTTAAAATTTGTCCTCCTACACCGCCATACCGAAGGTGAAAAATGCAACCACCTGCCCCCTTTAGGCACTTCCAAAACAGTAAAACATCCGATTTGCCCTTACTAGGCCCTTTTTGATCTGGTTCCTGCTTATACCTCTTATAACTTCCCATTCGATACTTTATAGTCCTCAAAATCCAACTGCTGCTCTTATCTACACGCTATCCCACCCCACCTTGGTCTCTGTTTCCTTTGTGTGGCTGATGCCTATGTAGTGTTTAAGGCTTGGCCCAAATATCATCCCCTCTAGGAACCCTTCCTTTACCTGCCCTTTCCCTATGACCCCAAAATATAGTATGTATATATTGCTGTTGTTGCAATTTTGACATTTGAATTATTTGTTTCTGCATCTGTCTCTTTCACTAAACAGTGAGCTTCAGGGACTGTAGCACTGTTCCTGGCACAGATTTTTTGCTAAATTTGTCTCCTTAAATTGGGAATAAATGCATAAATTAAAAAATGATTTGTTTCAACATATAATTTATCAGTTGTAGGACTTTCAACTAATTATTTAAACTATTTCAGTCTGAGTGTCCGCATCTGCAAATGGACTCAGTAATTTTGGCCCATCTTGTGACTGGGAGAATAAAATGATGAATTTACAATTACATGTGCAAAATGTAAAGCATTCTACTAGGCATCGAAAAGGAAAGTCTGTCCGCTTAGACAATAGTATGGTAAATAAAGTTCTTTTTATAAGTGTTAGATTTGTATTTTCTACTTTTACTTCTCCAATTTGTACTTTAAGTTTATGGTTATCATGAGGAGAATTCCTTTAGATAGATCTCACATTAATTTACTACAAATAGGAAACTGGCTTTGAAGAAAAAATTTTAAAATTGTAGTTTGTTACTCATTACCTTTCAGAAATTGCTTAATAGCAAATACATGGGGAAAATTCAGCTTATTTCAAGGCAGTGTATTTGAATATTTGGAGGAGTTATTTTATTTCTGTTATTAACTTTATTTTGTACATAATCCTAGTAACTGGCATGTTTCACTGTAGGAAACATTTTTAGGGCTCTTTTATACCAAAAAAATGGGTACCGTTGAATAGTTTACAGCAACTGGCCCACTGCAAATTTGTGATGTAGGTAATTTGCAATTTTCCTCCTTTCATCCAGACCTTGTATTAATTTTCGTGGCCTTATCTTGTTGCTAAGCTCTGCATAGCAAGTGTGCTTCAGTAAGAGTAGGAGGGACCCTGATCCCTGTTTTCCTTTCCGGGTCTAGAGGGATGTTATCTGGCAATTAACTTGGCCTTTCACACAAACAATACCAATTTGCTACCTTTTAAAGGAGTCCAGGACATAGAGACATAGGAATTTGCCCCTTGCAGCTGTCATCTTTTCAGATACCTTTTATTGAGGTGAAGAGTCTTCCTAAGATTTGTTGACTTCTAAAATTATGCCTCTGGCCAGAATTATGGGAAACACCATAAAGTGAAAGAGAATGCTTTCTAATAGATATTACTGATCTCATTAGATAAGCCTTCTATGCAAGATACACTATGAATCATTCTGATCTCCACTTTGTAAGTCTTGATGTACAAACAGAAGTTAAAATGGTATTTTTAGGAAGATGATAATACATAAACACATTAAGCCTATGTGTCAATATTTGGGGGAAATGTGAGGATCATTTTGCAAATGAATAAAAATTAATTAATATGTAATTCTTGGTTGCTTGATAATGTGGAAATTAGTATAGCAACGGAACAGGTATATCAATTACACATTTTTAAATAGCTTTCTATGTACATATAGAGAAGCACATTTGTAGTTCTCTACCTTAATATGAAATAATAGTTATGATACATAAACATACATTGTATCACAGTAAAAACTGTGTTTCGAATATTATCTGCTTGTCTGTACTACATTTATTCAGAAAATAAATATTTAGAAAAACTTTAATAATACTGGCCTGAAATTCAACTTCTTGTTGTAATTCCAAAGAAAACTTACTTTCAAGTCCACACCCCTGATGCAACAACAAAAAAAATCTTTATTTCGCATCACTTTGACTAGTAGTTAATCTGCCAAAATTATTTACGTGTACAACGAGGGATATTTACTCCCCAAATTATTTGAATTGCAAATGGAATGATTCACTACACTTCCAGAGCCTATTTAATTCCTATATGTTGAGAATATGAATTATATTTTATTTTCCACTAAATGAGAGGAATGAAGATGCAGGAAATGAAGAAAGAACTGATGAAGAGGCAAATATTACACAGAGTGTAAACATAAATTGTTAAGAGGATATTTTCTGTAATCAGTAATTTGGCTTGTCTATAACGGTCCTCTTTGGTGGTAACAAACTTTACTTAGGCAGGCCACAACATGGACAGAATCAGTGAGATTTCATTGTCCCTTTGATGGATAAACAGTAAATTATATCCTTGAAAAACAAAGTAAAATTTTAAAAAAGTGCTTACTTTCTGTTCCTTTTCCGGACACGGCTGTAGGCTTCCAAACCTTCCGTTAGTGTCTTCAACTTCTCGGGCTCCACCTGAGTGAAGGTATGAAGACCAAACCACATTACCCAGACCTGTAATTGTTAAACATGGTGTTTACTTTCCTGCCGTACGAGCAGGTGCTGCACTGGTGGGGAGGGGAGCCTTAACCTTCACTGCCTTGTCAAATCTTCTGTTCTCACTCAATCATTAGAGGTTGATTCTGTGGCTCCAGGCTGCAACATCAGTGGAACTGAAAAGCTGTTTGGCTTTAAAATTGTCAACATTTTGAAAATAATATTTTGGGAATAAAATCTGGAATTTAAACAACCTTCAACTCACAAAATCATAAAAATCAGAGATCCTGGTTCACTTTCTTAGCAACTGCAAATCTGTAGTATCAGACTACTGTGATATAAGTATCAGGGGAAGACAAGAGTGGTAGTTAGTGAAGTGGGTGGGCTTTGGAGCCAACAGATCAAAGTTTGAATCCTACTTTTCACTTCCTTGTAGGAGTAAAACACATTTTCTGAGCCTCAGTCTCCGCCTCTGTAAAATGAGGACAATAATACCTACCTTCCTGCTAGAACTGCTGTGAAAATTAAAATATGACAAGTCTTATTGAACACTTATCTTAGCATTCAGCAATGATCATGACCTAGTACACATTTGGCAGTGTACAGAGGCCATCAAACATGAGAAAAGGGTGTTGCTATGCCTTGTGGGTGTGTCCTTTGTCCTATCTTGCTTTCGGACTGCCAGTCTGTGTGTAGTCAGCTATGTCAACAGAGGTCAGCCACCAAGGGTGGTGGGGGGATATGTGTGTGTGTGGAGCGTGCAACCTTTGCTACACACCCCTGAGAATCTCTATCATGGTTCTTGAAGCCACCTCCCCACAATAAAAACAATTAATAATTAGGAAAACTTGTATGTGACTTGGGAATAAAAACACTTTTAGAAAAACATGGCTATTTTTATTCTGTAAACACACACACACAATCTAAGTAAAAATAGTGTTGCGTGCTGTGTAAGCATAGTTTCAAGGCAAGTAACTCAGCTCTTTAATTGGGGTGAAAGCCAGCCACTTTACCCCCATTTCTCCTCCAACCCCCAATCCACTGTTATATAAAAATACAGAGTTAAACAAAATGCCTCATGGGTAAGAAAATAAACACTAATAAGCAATGAAATGATTATTAACTTTTGCCTTTGTATCCTCAAGATTGACTCACGAATGTCCTTTAGAAATAACTTCTCTATGACCCCTTCAAATCTAGAACACAGTTATGATTAACGAGAGGATTTCATTATTAAGTCTGAAAACAAGCATTTCTAATATTCAATGAGAAAAACAGTCAAATAACGGAAATGTTTTCCTTTTCATGTTTTTGTATTTTGCCCGCACAAATGTCTTATACACAAGTTCATACATACCCAACTCACTGTGTGGCAGCACAAGAGACAACTTTGTTCCAATAACACTTCACGTAAAGAAAAGTGTCCTATTGGGTTACTGGCACCACTGGAAAAGCTAAAGTAAGCTAAATGTATCCATGTGTTGTTTAAAAAAAAAAAAAGGTGCCTGGATGCACTTTCACATTTCATGTTAGAAATGAGCCTCCATCCTGTATTCACTCACATGAAGGGGATATGAAAAATGCTTTGCATATTTCAGTTTTGTAATCAATAAATGATTCCACTTATATTTAAATAAGCTTCTTGGCAGCAGGAAAGGAGTTGTGCTATATAACAAACTTCTATTAGACTTAAACTGGTGTAGCGAGGGATCTCAGAAGGGGTTAATCTGGTCACAGAATCAGGTTCACAATGAAACAAAGCAAGACACAGCAATTAAAACTTACCCCATTGGTCTTAATTTAAAAAACAAAGTTAGGTCAGAGTATTTTTTTAAGTCTTCAATTTTTATTTTTAATTAATTATGGAATAAGGGACAGTAAAAACATTTCTTGTGCATTTATTATGTAAAAGGCACTGTTTTATCATTTAATATGATACTACTGCAAACTAGTATTACTTTTATATTATTACAGATGGGACTTGGTGCATTTAAATAACATGGCCAGAATTGAAACTCAGGTCTGACTCCAACATGCTCAACTTCTCTCCACCATACCAACTCCAACGTACATTGAAATATAGTCATTTTATATATATATATAGCATTTATATATATAAAATTACACACACATATATAAAATACACACACACACAGGCACACTAAAAAATTTAGGTCAAACTATTTAAAATTAGATTTCTACAAAATTTAGATGACAACTTGCCCAAATTTATACTCAACTTTTTTATGCTTGAATAATTTTCCAGGGATATTTTTTCTGAACTAATACTCTACCATGGTTTCTTCATTTAAATCTGCCTCTAAGCCTCTAACATACTCTTATAATGAACTATATTATTTATAAAGGATTAAATGACCTTGAAAAAGAAAGCAAAGATAGTCTTTCTGAAATTAAATATAAGTAAGATATATACCGCTGTGCATTTCTGCTATAACAAGATCATACATATTCAGAAGAAAGTTTAGTTTGTTTCAGGATTTCAGCATTTTGCTGTGTTGTGAAATATATATGAAGAGTGTATGTTTTTTCTGGGGAAATACTCATACATTTGAAAAATATTCAAGAAATTTTAAAGATACCCTCCCAAAATGGTATCAGAGAACAACAAAATAAATTCAGCTTCTAGTTAAATAGAAATCATGTTTAATGAACACTCCCTTGTAAATTACTTAGCTAACTTGTAAATTTAAAAAATATGAGGAAATCAAATACATAAATGTAACATTAAAAAGGTTAAACACACACAAATATTTTTATAAAACTTACACTAAAGGAACAAGTAATTTAAGATAATACTTTTATCTATAATTAAAATCTTGTATTCTTGTACAATCACAAGCCAGGAGTTTCACAAATTATTTAACTCCATCTTAGTGACAATTTAGGAGAGGACTTTATCTTTTTTATCTTTACTCATCATCTACCCACACAGTTTCATGCTGATAGCAATGACGCTAATAGTACTGGCCATCGTGGTGTAACTCCTTACTCATGTCATTTAAGAATCATAAAGTTACCTGGAATTTATATGTATTCACAGTTAACTTATTAATATATAAATATACACATACACGTTAAATGGTAATTTTTTTTTTTTTTTGAACATGGTCTCGCTCTGTTGGCCAGGTTGGAATGCAGTGGCGTGATCTTGGCTCATTGCAGCCTCGACCTCCTGGGCTTCAAGTAGTCTTCCCACCTCAGTCTCCTGAGTAGCTGGGACCACAGGTGTGTGCCACAATGCCCAGCTAATTTTTTAAAATTTTTGTATAGAAACAGGGGTCTCATTATGTTGCCCAAGCTGATCTCAAACTCCTGGGCTCAAGTGATCTGCTTGCCTTGGCCTCCAAAAGTGCTAGGATTAAAGGCATGAGCCACCATGCCCTACCAATACTTTTTGACTATTAAAAACTCTTCTTTCATTCAAATTGTTTAGATACAATAATTCTTCAACATAAATAGTTTTACAGTTTGTTCAGTGTAGATAGAAACATAGTCATAAAGCCAGACATTACTATGTGGTGGATGATTAAGAGTTTTTCTGAACAAGGCTAAATCTCTGGTTGCTTATTTGCTTATTTTGTTCAGAAGGCCCATATTACACATTTGGTAATTTAAGTTTTTGATTTGGTGTCAGCACAGTGGGACCTCATGTATCTCAGGAGAAACTTAAAGTCTGACAAAAGAAGACATAAACCCTTCAGAGAGGTACACCAACCCTTGAAACAGAGGTATAGTACATATTTGAAGAACCTGGATCTGGCTGGGCAAGGTGGCTCATGCCTGTAATCCCAGCACTTTGGGAGGCCGAGGTGGGCGGATCATGAGGTCAAGAGTTCAAGACCAGCCTGGCCAACATGGTGAAACCCTATCTCTACTAAAAATACAAAAAATAGCTGGGCGTGGTGGCAGGCATCTGTAATCGCAGCTACTCAGGAGGCCGAGGCAGGAGAATTGTTTGAACCCAGAAGGCGGAGGTTGCAGTGAGCCGAGATCACACCATTGCACTTCAGCCTGGGCGACAGGGTGAGACTCCATCTCAGAAATAAAACAAAAAACAAACAAAAACGAAGAACCTGGGTCAATGATCCTAGATCACTTTTAAATATAGCTGGTTAACTGGTGATTACATTAAATTTTTCTGCAGGCTTTAATCTTGATAACACCCCTCTTTGTGAATTCTTTGGTGCTCCTTATTGCTGAAGCAGAGCTGTTGTGCAAACATCAAAGAATAATGGAGCACTAGCCACATCATTGATCTCATAACAGAGTTGACCTCGAGCTCCCCTTTTCATTCTTTACTTCCCCATTCCATTTCTTTAAAGTCCTGTTGCTGGGGAATGGCATAATGTAAGGAGTGCTAAATTTAGATTAGAAGACCAGGATTGGGACCTGGCTTTACCCGTGATTTGTATTCTTTGGGATGCCACTTCTCTGAGCTTCAGTTCTCCCATCTGTAAAATGGGGATAATTCTGCACATCTTTACGGGTTATTGGAAGGATCTAAAATGACCACAAACATGAAGGTGCTTTATGAACACCAAAGCAGTCCAAAGTGCCACTGATGGTATGTAAAATTATTTTAGGTAAAACATGGACAAACCTTTAAATATTCTTTTTTAGTTTTTTTTTTTTTTTTTAGAGACAAGGTCTCCACTCTGTCACCCAGACTGGAGTGCAGTGGTGTGATCACAGCTCATTGTAGCCTTGAATTCCAGAACTCAAGTGATCCTCCCACCTCAGTCTTCCAAGTAGCTAAAATTTTAGGGGTGCACCACCATGCCTGGCATGCTCATTGCAGCCTTGATCTCACGGGCTCAAGTGATCACCTTACCTTAGCCTCCCATGTAGCTGGGACCACACATGTACAGCATCATGCCTGCTAATTTTTAACAATTTTTTGTAGAGATGGGGTTTCATTATGTTGCCCAGGCTAGTCTTGAACTCCTGGCCTCAAGTGA